TGGCTCTTGCCTTTCCATTGGACTATTTCAGCAACGCGGAGAGGGGGGATTTGCTGTTTCGGTAACACCCTATCCTCCATTAGTAATGTATACATTACTGAAAAAGCAACATCTACGTTGGCTTGGGCATATCGTGAGAATGGTTGATGATCGGATTCTGAAAGATCTCCTGTATGGAGAATTAGTGCAGGGAAAGCGCCCCGGAGAAGACCACAGCTGCGATACAAGGATATCTGCAAGCGGGATCTGAAGGCCTTAGGAATGGACCTCAACAGATGGGAAACCTTGACATCTGAGCGTTCAGCCTGGAGGCAGGGGGTGCTTCATGGCCTCTCCCAATTTGAAAAGACCCTTGTTCAGCAGGCTGAGGCAAAGAGGCAGTCCCGAAACCAGCAAAATCAGGGAGCTGGACAGGGGACAGACTGTATTTGTTGTCAGTGTGGAAGGGATTGTCACTCTCAAATTGGCCTTCTCAGCCACACAAGATGCTGTTCCAAGTCCTCCATACAGAGCATGTTACCATAGTCTCTCGAGACTGAAGGATGCCTAATCTAAACTGCACCTCCTTGATCAAAGCCAAAAGGCATCCAAAGGACCAAGAGCTAGGAAAACAAGAACAGTAGACACACAATCGTTGTCATGCCAATTGTTATTATATTCTGGCTTGCCAGGAGACATCTGGGTGGCCGCTGTGGGAAACAGGAATGCCAGACTCTCTAAATCTCTGGTCTGATCCATTATGGGGCAGAATACACTAGAAAAGATGAAGAATCTTTCCACGACGGGTGTGGATGTAGTGCAGTTTGTGATTTAAGAGAAATATGATGGGTTGAGGTGGGGGTGAGAAAAACCACCAAACCGCCAACACTCAAGGAACAGGCTTATATATGCCCTCAAGTCAGTTCATCTCCCCTCCTCCTCTGCCACCCCCTCCTCATTTTCATTTGCCATGCACATGTTTCTTTATCAGATCCTAGGAGTGTGTCTAATATCCCACCGCCTTCTCCGCATCCCCTCTCTTTCTCTTCCCACCACACAGGCTGTTTATAGCACCCCATTCACACTCAAAACATGTAGAGCGAATTCTACCACCCTTCACCCCCCCCGCCCGCAACAGCATCACCACCATCACATTTCCCTGTCAGAGCTGTCAAGCCGAATCCCACTTTAATCTGCCAAAAGCACTTTTCTGCTGACATTTTTAATAAATACTTTCAGCTTTTAAACACATTTGTGGGAGCCATTTTACACCCCTCCCCCTCCCTTCCTCTCTTCTTTCCACTCTCCTACTTCTCCTTCTTTGGAAGAATAAGGTCTGAAAGCCTAAATAGCAAATACATTACACTTATCAAAGGCTCCCTTCCTTTTCTTTTCTTTTCTTATTTTTTGCATCCAGAAACAGAGGTAGTGTTTTCAATTTTAAAGCTAAATTAACTGTCCAATTGAGTTTGGCTGGTGTGAGCCATTTTAACTGTGACAGGTTTTAGTTATGAAGCATATTTCACATTAATAGAACTCAACATGAAAACCCCACTCTCTCTGGGACGCAACCGTGGCTCGTCATTGAAATGTTAAATTTAATATTTCAGACATGCCTGGTGCCAGCGTTTGATTATTGTTCGCCATTTAAATCTCTCCTAACGGGGAAGGTCCTAATTAGCAAAAAATCATGTTTTAATGAAGGCAAAATGCTAATTGCTAAACACAAAAAAGTCTTCACATAAAATTATCCCAGCGTTTCCATTGATTTCTTGGCGGTGGAGGGAATGGGGGAGGGAGAGACCCATTTGTGTGTTTACACTCCAAACCATTGCTTTTGTTTTATCACAACATTTCACTCAAATGGAGCATTCAGCTCTGTCGGGGAAAGACAGTCCATTCACCTCGCCTGTACCCCACCCCTTCTCCAAATTCAGAGGAGGAGACACCAAAACACATGAATTTATCCATGCAATTTAGAATTACTGTATTATTAATAATGTGCTGTCATTCTGACTAATGGAGACTCTTTATCAGGATATTCTTGGTAGAGAATACTCAGAAGTGGTTTGCCATTTCCTTCTTCCAGAGGTGCCCTTGGACTGTGCAGCTTGCCCAAAGCTACTCAGGCTGGCTCTTTCTTTCAGGAGATGCAGTGGGGAAATGTCTGGCTCAGCAGCCAGCTACCTAAACCACTGAGCTATCCAGAATTATTCACCACTGGATATGTTTTTAAAAAAGATTCTCTCTCTCTCTCTCTCTCTCTCATGTCATCCATAGGCAACACACCTTTTCTTGCTAAAAAAAATGAATAAATAAATTATCTAGCTCAGCCATTCTCAACAGGATCCATATGCCCCTCCCTGAGGTGCCCCAACACATTGGAAGAGGGACACAGACTGGAAACAATTATTCACACATCATCTTACAAGGTTCATTATGCAACTTGTACAGTCTTGATTTGGCCTATATTTCTTTCATATGAAGTTTATGTCCATGGCCAAAAAAAAAGAGGGTTGTGAATGGCTGATTCTAGCTAACTAAAAAATGCACACGAAACTCGCAGTCGAGACACAAACCACAACGTTTTCACCGCAAAGAAATGATCTGAAGCCATCTGTTCTCCTAGGAATAACAATTCTGTTTTGTTTTGCCTGTCTCTGATCTTTTACTTATCATATTATTTGCGCAATGATTATAGTGTTTGCAAGGGAGCTCAGCCACTTACGCCACAGCACTCAATCATGACATGAGGGGGATGTGGGGGGCGAGGGAGGCAAGTTATTATATGATGACCTCTGGATGCCAGCATTTGTTCAGCGAGATTTATGGAACTGCCACAACAACAGAAGCCGCCACCAAAGCCTTCTCGGAGGTACTCACATCGCTGAGGCAGTCTCTGGAGCTGCTAAGCTGTGAGCTGGTGGCCTCCCGGATGCTGTCGTCTTCACTGTTTCTGCCACTCCGTTTCACCGGGACCTTCATCTAAGAGGAGGAAAAAGATATGGGGATGTTAGAAATACATCTTTCAGAAACCATGGTTCTTTCGCTCTCAGTTAAATGCAGAAACACACAAACGCAGCCACATTCCTATCCAGGGATGTCGGCAAATCTTTAGGTCGAAGTCTTTGGTACCAAGTCCCGAGTCCTAAGCCAGTGGTCTGGGTCCCCAACAAAAACAAGCTCCCCCCCCCCCAGGAAAAAGGAAGAGTGTGGGTGGGTGGGTTTCTGGATTGTAAGTCAAGCTGGAGTCATTGGAAAAAAAGTCAGAGTTGAGTCACTGGTGCAAATTAAGTTTGAGTTCAAAGAGAGTCCTGCAACTTGAGCCCCCACCCCTGTTGCTATCTGAGTGTGGATATGGAACATGGACTTCCAGATACCTCTACCATTTTAGAAGATGCTGAGGACAAATTGCTTATTAGAAAAGGGCTTGGTGTATCCAAACAGTCCTTTGGACAGAAACCTCTCCACCAAGCAAGTTTCTACATTTAGAAAATGCTCAGCATTTGCTTAGGATTTCAAAAACACCATTTAAAAAAAAATCCTTTCAACAGCATGGTATGTTAGACCAGTACTGCCAGTACAGAGGACATAGAAGGAGCCTCCTCAAAGAATGGAAAATGCTGAGAAAACCCTCGGGTGTCCCCTGGGTAATGGCGTACAATTGGACAATCTTTCACTTCCAGAAACTTCACACTAGAACGGCCCAAACCCACCCACTTCATGGATGCCAACCCCTCCTGTATGATGGCTAACGTCGAGGAAACGTTTATGCACGCTTCTCAAGCTCTGACCACTTTGGGTCAAAAACAGTCTGAATGTCTTGACATTTTAATTGTTTTTTAAAATTTTTGCCTGTAATTCATGTGCATCTATGATTCCAAATTGTCCAATACAAATAAAGTACCGTCATGGTTGTCACCGCCACCATTACCAATAGCACAGACTTACATAGGTTTCAACTTCCTCTATTTATCGCACATGATAAGGTCAAGTTCCTCCATACATTCCACCGATTCAAATGGGCCTACTTGAGCTGCGACTTACAACAATAAGCAACAGGGGTTTCAGTCGTATGTTCTGCATTTCAAAAAGATAGGGAACACCTAAAATACTTGCAGAAACAATGATTTTTTTAAAGGAAGGAAGTAAACGTCCTCTTATCTCCTACCAATATAAGTAGTCAAAGTTCAAACTTTCATGGGTTTCAACAGATACATGCCGCTTATTTGTGCATAGTTAAATCCAAACCAACAGCTGCACTGGACTGCCGTTTGGCTTAACAGCAGATTGCAGATTAATTTCTACAAAGTTTGGGAACTGCATTTCCAAGTATCAGTAGAACAACTTGTTTTCCCTCCCTCTTGATATTTTTGTTTGATCTGAGAGTAGTGCCATGATCATCATTGAGCCTATTGAGATACAGCATGAAATTCTGGGCCCGGTGAGCCTTAACAGTGTACCTATAATTTGAGGAGCATTCACATCTTTAAAAGGGATTACAGTACTGCAGTTATCTCTTTGTGTATTCTTTTCTTTTTTCTCCAAAGCTTATATTAGGAAAGCTGCACACTCCGAGCTCACGCATGAGCACATTCAGAGAATCTGACCTAACAAGGTCTTCTGAGGGCAAGCAAATTAGAAGAAACCCTGCTGCCCATTAACCTTTCGGAGTAAATATCAATTATTAAACTTGTTCCGATACCTCTGTCCCCTGTTTGCTGCCGTGAATTAAGAGGGTCATCAGCTTTTTCGACAGATCTTGCTCATTTACACCTGCTTCTTACCAGCAAGAGAGTCCACACCCTGGCTTCCAGAGCACCAAGCCAACCTTCATTGGTAATTACCTTAATGAGACACGGCGCAACAAGAACAAGTCACTAAATACAATGTACAGGGGTTTGGGGGCTACTGCTGGGCAAACCTAAATAGAAACGAGCTCTTTTGGGAAGCCTATTTCGTTAAGTTGTTTTTTGTTTAATCTGCTAAGAATCTACCTGTTCACCCAGCTTAATGGAGAGAGATGCCTTTCATCACTGAACCCTGGACATATGGATATGTGTAAAGAGATGGCATAAAGGAGAGATAATTTCTGAACTTGTGCAAGTTCTAGAGGTTTCTAGAAGATGGGAGTCCTTCAGGAATTGTCGCCACTACACCACCCAGAATCAATTCAGTACCATCATTTAATCCTGCTTTGGGACTGCTGCAGCAAATGTATAGCAGCATTCCTAGGAAACAGATGTTGCTTTCAAGAAAGGAGCCTCCCCAAAGAATGGAAAAGCATTGAGAGTACACATGGGTGTCCCCTGGGCAATGGTGTGCAGCCCCTTTACTTTCAGAAGGGTTGCTCTATAAATTTGCTGGATCTTCTTTTATACAAGGAGCCTAATTATCTTAATATTTGACCTATATTTCATGTATTTCTATAATTTTACCTACATTTGACCTATATTTCATATATGTCCATATTGGGACGTGGTGGCACTGCGGGCTAAACCGCAGAAGCCTGTGCTGCAGGGTCAGAAGACCAGCAGTCATAAAATCGAATCCACGTGACTAAGTGAGCTCCCGTCGCTTTATCCCAGCTCCTCGCCAACCTAGCAGTTCGAAAACATGCAAATGTGAGTAGATAAATAGGTACCACCTCGGTGGGAAGGTAAAACGGCATTCCCTAGTCACGCTGGCCATGTGACCACAGAAGATTGTCTTTGAAAACAGGATGAGCACCGCCCCCTAGAGTTGGACACGAATGGACTAAAAATGTCAAGGGGAACCATAATGTAAAATTGTCCAATGGAAAGAAAGAAAGAAAGAAAGAAAGAAAGAAAGAAAGAAAGAAAGAAAGAAAGAAAGAAAGAAAGAAAGAAAGAAAGAAACAAAGAAAGAAAGATAGATAGATAGATTGATCAATCTTTGGTGCCTTATTCTATTTGACTTCCACAGAATACAACATTTTAAGGAGGAATATATGTTTTGGGCTACAGACACACGTACAAATGGGTTTGCAGTACAAACTCGCCTACACCCTACACAGGCACAACTCACTTCATTTTTTGGCTATAAACCATGCTTACAGATAAGTCCTCATGCATCATCCTGTACCACTAAAGCTCTTGCTTCCCTGGGCCATCCTTTTATATCACATTATAACAACAAAATAACTCACACTTGATAGTGTGGTACCCTCCCTGCAAATCTGTTAACTTACACTCCAACTTTCTAATCTGGCACTTTTAGAGTTCTTTGTCTTTCTTTCTATCTCAGTATGCAGAGGCATAGGAAGGTACCTAATACTGACACAAAACCTCACTGGTCCACCAGGCTCAGTATTTTTGACACTGATGTGTGGTGTCAGTCAATTGCAAACTCTGTGGCACAGTGGTTAAACTGCAGTACTGCAGTTAAGCCTCTAATTACAACTCAATGGCTCGAAGCTGACTCAGCATTCCATCTCTCTAAGGCCGGTAAAATGAGTACCCAGCTTGCTGGGAGGCAGGCAAAGTGTTCCTTGCATACTTATGTTGTAAACCAGTGGTCCCCAACCTTGGGTCTCCAGATGTTCTTGGACTACAACTCCCAGAAGCCTTCACCTCCACCTCTGCTGGCCAGGATTTCTGGGAGCTGAAGTCTAAGAACATCTGGAGGTCCAAGGTGGGGGACCACTGTTGTAAACCACCCAGAGAATGCTCTGGCACAATGGAGTGATATACAAATCAAAATAAAAACAATGACAACAATAACTGGATTTAGACCTAAGCCTGTGTGAACACAGCTAAAGACAGACAGCTTTGGCCTTTTGTGAACTGCTCCAAAAGATGAAACACACTGTCAATTTTTTAAAAAAATCCAAAGGAGGGAAAGCTTGCATAAAGATCCTAATTTATACGTACAGATACACAGGCATAATACTATAATGTAAGCAGAAGAAGTGTATGCGGAGACAAGATGGCTTGTATGCCTGCAAGGTTGGCTGCCTGGGTGCTCTCCCTTCTTCATGCTATTTATTTCTGAACTGCATTTTGCTTGGACATCCATTCAGTGAGGAGACCGTGGAGCAGGATACAGGGCCAACCTAAGGCAGGCTGACATCGCTTTGGTGAATTTGCAACATTGCTGATTGAGTCGTTTCCACAGGAAAGCAACCCCAGGTAGATGGGGAAACGAGAGTGCCTTTGGTTCCATCCCAGAGCCTGACATGATGGAATCAGTTGGAGGCAGAGGGCCAGCGAGACCAGAGGGGGAAACTAGCCAGGCATAAACAGCTCCAACCTGTTTACAGACTCCAGGTGCACATGGGCAATCCCAAGCCACAGTCCCGGCCAAGAATTATGAACCACACGCCGTTGGACATCATGTAGCGTGATTAAACATCATAACTCATTCCAGCAATAACTTCTGCTCTCATTAAATTCTAGCTTCGCTTTCCTCTCATTCTCATTGCTTTTTTTTTAAATCTCTCTGATTCTCTGGTATACTGCAAGGGACAGGCAAGGCTAGAAATAGTAACTTGACTTCAAACCCGAATCCTGATTCCCTTGCCTATCACAAGGCCACTATCCCCCCATCCCCTTTTAAACAAAACAAGCCTTGGTTTAAGTCAACTCCACCTCCAAAGCTCACGCCACTGGCAAGCTTCTGCTCCAAAGAAGCATTGTGCCTGTTTTCAAGTTGTAGGCAGCCTGCCCTCCACTCATTATTAATAAATACAGTTCGATTTATCAAAAGCTCCCTTTTGAGTGCCACCGGAAACCCCAGGGCAAAAGGAGACAAATTCTTTTCTTAAGTTGTTCTGAAAGGTACTGGGCTCTGCGACCCTCACCCCCATTAACCTAGCAAAGCTAGTTCGCCCCTACTGGGAACTCTGTATCTTGCTCAGCGGCAAGCCTGGACTGATCTTGTGCCATCTCAATATATTTGTTCATTATCTTGCGCACACACAGAAGCATTTGGAACTGTACTCGGGGCACAGGCCAAATTGAATC